GCTGTGCGGGGCCGGGCACGACGGTGCCTGTATCGGGACGCAGGAGCGGCGCAGCCCCGGCGCTAGAGTTGACCTGGTCTGCAGGAGCCCCGGGCCGGGCGATGGAGCGGGCCGGGCAGGAGCCTGGCTCCCGAGAGCCTGGAGCTGCAGGGAGAGGTGAGGGGCTGCTGCTGAATGTGGGGCGGGAGGCCTGGGGATGGTGCTGGCACAGGGAGGATCCGCTCCTTCTCTGCCTCTGTACAGTGAAATTTCCTCTCAAGCCTCAATTCCAATTTCTTTATCTGCCCCTGGAGTCTGGTTGGGTTTGTGCAGTGGTGATGCACTGCAGCAATGTCTTTGCTGTTTCTGCTAGTATTCTGTTGAGAATATAACAAAGATTATATGCCCTATGCTTTCTGCTGCTCTGAGAGGCTGGACTTTGTCCAGAGGGTTGTATTTTAGCTGTGTTAAATATAGTTATTCAAAGTCAATTGCTGCTGCCTTTGTCATGATTTCAATGATACCCAAACTCTTGAGGAAGTCCTGTCCTGTGCAGGAAACTTCGTTTCAGCTTTTCTTAATTTTGCTTTCTGTTCTGTGGAAAAGGGTTTCATTTTAGTGTCTTCATGGTTTAACAGCTGAAGTGAACTCTAAGCAGTTTTAGGAGTCTGAAAATTTAGGAGTCTTTTTAGGAGTCAGAAAAAGAGGTACAAATGAAACAGCAATTTGAAAGTCTGTGTGTAAATACAGCAATCATTTTCTAACTTGATGCCAAATGTCCAAAACATTCTAACTATTAGGTTAAAATGCGCATGGATTTGTGTTGGAAGGCAGCTTAATGTAGTTGATTTATAATTAAGGAGTGCCTTTCTTTCTATTTGTTTTTTAAGGGCATGCAGATCATTGTGATACTGGTTTTATACGAAGAGGCAGAAACAGAATAAATAATGTCTCAGGCCAGGTGGCTCAGTTTGGGGAAAGCCCTCAGGCCAGTAATTACAGTCTTCTACCAGGACAGAGAGAGGAGAGATTTGGTGGTTGTGTTTGGAGAGGTGCTCAATCAAGCCAGAATACACCAAGAAACCAAGGTGGAAAAGCTAACAGTGGAGCCACAGGACACTGGAATGAATGGGAGAATGAGAGGAGGAGAATGAGGCATCTGGGTGGACAGACACACGAGAGGGCCAGAAGACCCTGGGACTACCAAGAAAATGGGAGTGGAGGAAGAAGGTATCAAGGTGGACAGGCACATGAGAATACCAGAGGACCACGGAATGAGCAAGAAAATGAGGGTAGGGGAAGGTGGTATCAAGGTGGACAATCCTGGGAAGGAGCTAGAGAGCTGAGGAATGGGCAGGAAAATGAAGGTAGGGTAAGGAGGATGCAATCTCGGGAGAATCCTCATTACCACCAGAACCCTGCCCCAGGTGGTGCCCAGCTCAGTGAGCAGCCTCAGCAAGTCAAAAGGATCGGATATAAATTCCTAGAAAGTCTTCTCCAGAAAGACCCTTCAGAAGTTGTCATCACACTTGCTTCAAGTTTAGGTTTGAAGGAACTTCTCTCCCAAACAGCTATGAAACCAAATTTCCTTCAGCTCGTTTGCCAGGTGCTTCGAAAAGCATGCAGTTCCCGAATGGATAGACAGAGTGTCCAGCAGCTGCTTGGAGTGGTGAAGGAGTCCAACTTCCTCAGGATCTGTTTGCCACAGTATGTGTCTGACATGATAACAGAAGTAGTCCCTTCTGTACGTCATCAGTACCCTGTGCATATTAGCAACATCATTTCACTTCTTCAGGACCTAATCAGTGTTTTCCCAGCCAGCTCTGTCCAGAAAATCTCAGTTCTCTTGACAGTCTTGCCAGCGTCCATAAGTGCCCTGAGAGCTGCTGGTGTGGACATCCCAGAAGAAGCAGAGAAGAATCTAAATAAAGTCCAGATGCTCGTGCAGCACCTGCAGGAGAAGAAACGTGAAGGGACACTGAGGGCTGATAACTGTACTCTTGTGCAGCTTCAGACTGATAGTCCAGACGAAAGCTATCGCACAATGACCATTTATCCGACATATAATGAGCTACACCGTCAGGAAAAACCCTTTCTACGTCCCAATATTGTTTCTGGAAGATATGAGAGCACCAGCATTTATCTTGACACCCATTTCCGGCTTTTGAGAGAAGATTTTATAAGGCCTTTAAGGGAAGGTATCTGGGAGCTTTTGCAGAACTTTGATGACAAAGGTCTGAGAAAGAAAAGATTTGATGACATCAGGATCTATTTTGACACACGGATTATTGCCCCTCTCTGTTCCCCAACTGGTATTGTTTACAAGGTCCAGTTTGACATAAAACCATTGAAGTTTGTACGATGGCAGAATTCCAAACGGCTGCTATATGGATCCCTGGTCTGCATGTCCAAAGACCACTTTGAAACATGCCTTTTTGCCACTGTTTCTAATCGTGATAATGCAGATCTTGCCTGTGGGATTGTGCAGCTATGTTTTAATGCACAGAGCCATGCACTGCTGGCACAGGTTCAGCCCTCAGACTCCTTCCTCATGGTAGAGACAACTGCTTACTTTGAGGCCTATCAGCATGTGTTAGAAGGAATACAGGAAATCCAGGAAGAAGATATCCCATTCCAGAACTACATTGTGGAATGTGATACACAGGTGAAGCAGCCAGCATACCTTACAATGGATACTGCCTACAACTTTGCACCCTTGATGGAAGATCCACTGTTAGACAAAGATATATACCCTGATGGTTTGAGAAGGCAAAGTGTCCGTGTTCTAGATCCCAAGCAGTGGCCTTCAACAGAAACCTTGAGATTAGATGAGTCTCAGATGCAGGCACTGATGGTTGCACTCACCAAGGAGCTGGCTATTATTCAAGGACCTCCTGGGACCGGTGAGAAACATTTGCTTTAAATCTCTGTCATTTAAGGAGTTCTCCTTGATTCCCCCATATAAGGAGATTAACTTCAGAGAAATCCAGCTGTACTCCCTTCAGAGCTTTACTCCCATACCTAATTTATGCTTGGGAGTGTTTGGCCATGATCCTCTATGTGAATAAAGCATTACAAGATGAACTGTAATTGTTTTAAATTGCATCTGAACTCAGCAAGCATCACTGCTTGTACTACACTACTATATGCATGTTTCATGTGCAGCCAAATGTCATGTATGAACCCGGTATCAGAGTGGGCTGTGGGATGCAGTGGCAGAGGAAACCCTGGGTCCAGGTCCAGTGTATTAAGGAAATGACAGCATTCTTCCAAAACGTGGCCTTGCTTGTATACAGATCAGAAAGACAGTGTCATGCTACTTCATTTACGTTTTGTAAACTGGTTACCTCTGGGGTCAGCTCTCTTGGCACAGACCAGATTTTCTTCTCACAAGGAAGTCTTGTATCTGTTTTTGATGATTTCTATGTTTCAAGGCACTCTGTAGAAGGTGGGTTAATTCTAAGCTTGTTTTGCAGGGAAGACCTATGTGGGTTTGAAGATTGTTCAAGCTCTATTGACTAATGAGCATGTGTGGCAAAGCATGGTCCAGAAGTCTCCTATCCTTATAGTCTGCTACACTAACCATGCACTGGATCAGTTCTTAGAAGGTAAGAGTACCTAATGACTGTGATGGAGGGTCAGGTAGAAATTATACTGTAACTCCTCCTCTGCACATCTTCTGGCATGATGAACTGTCCTTCTGGCTTTTTCTAGTGACTCTAGCCCCATTGATACACAGTAAGAAAACTTGGATCAATCCCATGTAGCATTTCCACACAAAGGGTGTTCTCCCTACCCCTTGTCCTGCTGCAGAAAACCGAGCTTGCCTCTATTACTTATATTTCTCTTTCATTCCCAGGAATTTACACATTCCAACAACATGGGATCGTGCGTGTTGGGGGCAGAAGTAGCAGTAAGGTCCTGAAGCAGTTCACCTTGAGAGAGCTGAGGAAGAATCCTCAATTCCAACTCAACTTGCCGATGCATCTTCGCAGAGCCTATGTGAATGTACGTGCAGACTTCACAGGAGGTGCTGGGACTGGGTTGCTGGTGCACTGGAGGAGCTAACTAAACTTCCTTCACACCATGTGAAAGTTCTTTCACCTTATCTTCCACTGAAGCCAACCTCTTTATTCTTGTTTCCTTTATCAGTTTCTTTTCCTGCTGTTTCTGAGCTTTGTTGCTCTGAGTATGACAATGCCTCCCTTGTCTTTGGTATGGGCAGATAACCAATGAGATGAAACAGGCTGAGCAGTTGCTCTACGAAGGAGCAAAGCAGTTGGAGTGCACAACATACGGAGTTCTGCATGAGCGCCACTTGAAAGCCTGCATCGCCCCCCAGCACTGGGACAGCCTCATGAATGGTCTGGTAAGAGAGGTCCCTTTCTTTTGAGCCAAGCAGTCCCCATGTATGCTTACTGCACTTACTGCTAATGAGTATGAGGTTCCCCAAGCACACTTCTTTTTAGCATTGCTTGGCTACTGGGAAAGTGCGGGAGTGGACAGCAAGCTGTGCCAAGTGACAGTAGTCTAGACTGGGTGGGGCAGGCAGGGGCTTTAAATTTTGCTCCTTTGAACTGCAGAGATTTTAAGTGCTCTTTATCTGTATAAAAATACAAGTGCCCAAATAAAAGCCTCTTAAACTGAAGGGGATGTGGGATGCTCTTTCTGAAGATGCCTGAAGACTTTCAAGCTCTGGAGGTCTCTCGGGGGACTTGTCCTAGTTGCTGCAAGGTGCTGCTTTGACATCACCGTAAGACTCTGAAGTGCAATGGGCCTGGCTGATTTGCCTTTCCTTGTATTAGGATGATGAGGAGTTCTACTACAGTGCTTCAAAATACTCAATGATTCTGGAGTGGCTGGGCCTTGGTGTAACTGTCTTCACCCAGAATCCTGCACAGAATATAAGGGCTGAGAAGCCAGGTAAAAATAAATAACAAAATAACCCAAAACAACAAACAAACAAAAAAACCCAAAAAGACCAAAATCAACCAACTAAACCAAAAACCCAAAACCAAACAAAACAATAACAACCAACCAAACAAAAAGAACAACAAACAAACAAAAATCCCAAACCAGACAGCCCCCCGTACTCTACTAGTATGTGTGCCTAAGCAATGCATCTTGTCAGAGAAGAGGCACTGCTACTTAACAGACTCTGAAAGTTACATGATGCTGTAAGGCAGTGGAAATACAGAACAACAGAGTCATCCTGGTTGGAAAAGACCTTGAAGATCATCAAGTACAACCATTACCTAAATCCACCAACCATAACCTAATTTACCCGTTCAATGCTTAAATCATTAAATCCCTAAGCACTACATCTGTATCTCTTTTAAACACTTCTAGGGGTGGTAACTCCACCACCTCCCTGGGCAGCCTGTTCCAATGTCCAGACTGGACAACCTTAATTTCCATGTAGTGACCTGACTGCTGCACTGTGATCCTGTGGTTACTGCATATGACTGGTGACTCTTGCAGGTGGTCATCAGGAGACAGAGGAGGAGTGGGAAGGTGGAGTAGAAGAGGAGCTTTTGGAGATCCCAGAGGAGGCTGACTTGATTCAAGCTGACAGAGTGATTGAAGATGAAGAGGCAGCAAAGCCTCAGGGAAGGAAGGAGGAAGAGCTCAGAGCTGTTAATGAACTAGCCAGCGTGCTGTTGGCTATGAAGCTGGAGGGCCAGGAAGAAGGAACAGCCCAACCACAACAGAAGACTACACAGTGGGAGGTAACTGCCTGCACTAGAACACTCTGGCTCTGCTTGGCTGTGTAAATAATACGGGGATGCTAAATCAGGAGAATCTTTGTGCTGTATCTGCTTATTGGCAAGTGCTTTTTTTTTTTTTTTTTTTTTTTTGCAGGTAACTGGTGCTCAGAGGAAGAAAATGAAACAGAAGATGAAGGTTGAGCTCCGTAAACTGAGTGCAATGACAGAGTTAGAGGCCAGGGATATTCGGGATCTGTGGCAACTTGACCTGGGCTCACGCTGGAGGCTTTACAGGTGACAAAGCTATTTTGCAGGCTCTGTCAGGCAAAGGTTTCCTAGGACTGCTCCATTTTCCAAACCTTTCTGTCAAGCCATGGTGTTTCTGTCCATACCTATTCAGTTCCTTATGTGAACATACGTGTTCTTTCCTTCCCTGTATTGCACAGTTAGTGCTGTCATTTCCACTGTGTGTGTTTGGGACTAAGGACAGATGCTAATAATCTCTTGCCCAAATGGCACAGAGGGAGTGTTGAACTGAATCCACTCTGAACTCTGGGTCACTATCCTGTTCCCCTTGCTGTCTGTGATAATGGCATTTTCTTCTCAGGCTTTGGCTGCACACCTACCAGGGCCTTATTCGACAGAGGATTCTGCGGCATGAACGGAACTATCAGGCAGCAGCAGAAAGGCTGACAGAACTGAGGCTGCAGGAAGATCTCTGCATTCTCAAGGAGGCCCAAGTGGTGGGGATGACAACTACAGGTGCACAGCAGTTGGAAAGCAAACCAGTATTGTACTGCATCCAGTAATGGTTAAAGGATCTTGTTGCTAAAAGATTAATATTATGGGCTGCCTGAGAGCCTTGGTCAGGATCAGCATTAGTCTGCAGGATTTCTAGTCTCTGAGTCCCTTTGCAAATGTGATTCCTGTGTGAGTTGTCAGTTAACTGCATGAGCAGTTTCTGTGCACTCTTGCACTCCCTCCATCTTGAACAGCATTCTTCTAATAGAAATGCTCTGCTTCTTGTGCCTGAGTAAAGCACAGCTAATACCTGCACTGCTATCCCCACATCACATTCTGGTGATGACAATGTAAAGTTCATGGTAATATGACCCTTTGCAGAGTATTTCTAGGTTTGTTTACATGTGTTGATCCATGCATTGAATAGAGAGCACCAGGAAAGGGCCAAGGTCACCATAGAACTTTAATCCCTACCTGCCTGAGTTGCTGCCGTTTTAAAGTCAAGAAAGCTGAGACTTGAAATGGGGAAACTTGGGAAGAGCCCCAGTTTTTTCTGGGACGCAACCTACTCTCCTTGAAAACTCTTCTCATAATGATGTCAATTATTAATTGAAATAAGTAACATTTGGGGGGAAAATCACATTTTAGGAAAAAACACAGAGAAGAGAACATAAGGGACATGCCGAATAAAAATAGGGCTTAGATAACAGTAAAACAGTAAAAATTAGACAAAACCAGATTCCAATTAGAGGAAAACCACATCCCAAGTAGTCAACAGCCCGGCTTTGAGACAGACCTGCAAGACAGATTAAAAGGATGGGAAGGAGCACTGCCCACAACTTAACTTGGTTACAGCCTTGAGCAGTGGGTAGAAAACCATGGAGTAATTTGATTCACCATATTAATATACTAGTAATGTATTAATGAGCTATTAGCATATTGAAATACCCACCCATAGGCTAGAGGCACCCCTGCTCACAAAAAGCCCCCACTCTTTGAGCAGGCATAGTGAAATTTTTTAGCATTGCCACTTTAAATGGAACTGAGGAATTAGTTGATCAATTGTGTGCAAATTAGAGACTAGTTCTCACATTTTTGGGTATAAAAGTAGCACTTGCATTTCAGGAAGCTGAGGTTGCTGTGTGGAACACCCCCTGCTCCTTTTTCTACGCAGAACTGGATATTAAAGCAAACACCTAGACTCTGTGCATGGATCAGCTCCTTGCACACTGGGTGACAGACCCCACTTTTGGGACAACACTACTGCCTGCATGTAATCATATGCTGCTAAGGTTTATCCTCTCTCTGTGCTCAGGTGCTGCCAAATATCGTCACATCCTGCAAAAAGTAAAGCCACAAATTATCATTGTAGAGGAGGCAGCAGAGGTGCTTGAGGCTCATATCGTTACTACTCTGAGTAAAGCTTCCCAGCATCTTATCCTCATTGGAGATCATCAGCAGGTAACATCCATAACTAGTGCCTCTAACTGTTGTGCAAATGAAGTAGAACCTTTTAACCAAACACCATATGTGTTAAAGGTCACCAAGACTTGCTGCTCCCCAGCATCCTTAGGTACCACAGGTCATGTCTCCTGTAGTTTTGATGTAGAGCTCCTGGGAGACTTCTCTTTTGGTTTAACTGATACAATTTTACAGGTGGATGCTTGTATCCACTTCCACTGTGACTTTGACATTTAGCACTTCAGCAAGAATCAAGTCTTTGGCCTTCCTGTGGGGGACCAGTGACAGAAAAAGAGATGAGTGAAAAATCTTACATAGGAAAAGTGTTAAAACATAGACTTCCTATCCCTTCTCTTTCAGCTGCGTCCTACTGCAAATGTATATGACCTGGCCAAGAACTTCAATCTGGAGGTGTCTCTCTTTGAACGGCTGGTGAAAGTCAATTTCCCGTTTGTCTGCCTGAAATACCAAGTGAGGAAGAGCTATAAAAAAAACTCCATTGCATTTAGGTCGTTTTAAGTTTGTTGTACACTTAAGTTTGTGTTTCTACTCTTAGAGCTTTCTAAAAAAAAAAATAGGGTGCTATTTAATTCCTAAGAGTGATGAGAGCTGTCAAACTGCCACAAACAGTGTTCCAATATATTTCCAATTATTCAGTGATGTCATCCACAACACTATGGTTCCCACGTTTTAGTGCATGGCTTATTGTGGCATCTGAAACTTCCAGGGCTGTGGAGACTGACAGCATAAGTCCTCCCAGGCTGCTTCCTGCT